GAGCACCAGAAGCCCGGAGGGCCAATGCAAACTATAGAGGTCCCGACGTGGAAATGGGAGGCGATAAACATGGACTTCGTCACAGGTTTGCCTCGTTCTCATCGTAAGTTTGATTCTATATGGGTTATAGTCTATAGGCTCACGAAATCAGCTCATTTCCTTCCGATTAGATCTACATATAAAGCCAAAGATTATGCGAAGTTATATATTAAGGAGATAGTGCAGCTACACGGAGTACCAATATCTATTATATCTGACCGTGGGGCCCAGTTTACAGGACGTTTCTAGAGGTCATTTCAGAGAGGTCTAGGGACTCAGGTTAATCTCAGCATAGCTTTTCATCCACAGACTAATGGACAAGCCGAGCGCACAGTTCAGACGCTCAAGGATATGTTACGAGCATGTGTGTTGGATTTTAAAAGAAGTCGGTATGAACATCTACCTCTTATCGAGTTTGTATATAATAACAGTTACCACTCCAGTATCTAGATGGCTCCGTACGAGGCTTTGTATGGGCGTAAGTGTAGATCTCCTATAGGGTGGTTTGATGTTAGAGAATCTGGGTTACTTGGGCCAGACTTGGTTCAGTAGGGCGTAGAGAAAGTAAAGCTTATCCAGGAGCGACTCTTGATAGCTCAGAGTCGTCAGAAGTCATATACTGACGTGCGGCTACGAGACTTAGAGTTCGGGGTTGATGACTGGGTATTCTTAAAGGTGTCGTATATGAAGGGCTTGATGAGGTTTGGCAAGAAAGGTAAGCTTAGCCCACGGTATATTGGGCCTTATAGGATTATTCGAAGAGTGGGCCGAGTAGCTTATGAGTTAGATGTGCCCTTGGAATTGGAGTCTGTCCATCCAGTTTTTCATATATCTATGCTATAGAAGTGCATTGGGGATCCTACTCGAGTGGTGCCCACTGATGATGTATAGATCACGGAGGACTTATTGTACAAGGAAGTCAAGTTTACATCCTAGCCTAAAAATTCTGCAAGCTACGAAATAAGGAGGTAGCCTCCATGAAAGTTTCATGGAGAAGCAAGAACGTGGAAGAGATGACGTGGGAAGCGGAGGAAGAAATGAAGTCTAAATACCCCCACCTATTTTAAGCTGAAGATATGGCTCGAGATGGGATAGTTCAGCACAACTCTATTCAGGCCAGTAGGTCATTAGGTAAGCTCTTATTTTTTACTTTCAGTATTTATGATTTACAACCGTGTGAGGCCAAGTATTGCTATTTATAGACATTGGCCATGTATAGTATGTGTTTCTGACTACGTGCAGGTTGGTTTTAGTCTAGTGTATGGAGGATACTCTGGCAAAATTTTCTCAAGTCTCTAAGAGTAAACATTCGAGGATGAATGTTCCTAAGGGGGAATGATATTACACCCCATATTTTCGTGTTTAAAAGTGCGTCGTAAGCAAACTAATGTAAGACCAAAAATGAGATAATCTTTTAAAGTATATAAAGCAAGTTAATCATGTTAGCTCGACGGTTACAAATATTGAAGATCATGAAAAATAAGTACAAAAAGGGTTGGAAGGTTCAGAAGCTAAAGGAATTGAAGAAATAATGTTTCGTCGAAAGTCGACAAGTTTGGAATGTTATAACCCGTACCTTTGGGGTGAGACTAGGGTTCTTAACATGATAAGAGGTTTATGTTATAATTTATTTTAGTCCTATGATAGTCATGTGTTAAGTTTTGAGGTCAAGCGAGTTGTGGAACAAAACTCGATGAAAGTCATCACAAGTTACGTTCATAAGTTTTACTGAAATTCGGATCAAATATCACTGTGATTTTCCCAATATACTTAGATTTACGGGGTGATCCACCCATCAAATTGAAGATATATGAGTCTATTTTCGAATGCATTAAATCGTTTGTCAATACGACATAGTAGTAGAGAGATATATATATGTGTTTGCGAGACTGCATAAACTGCTAGGTGACAAGTAGGTGTGTCACCTGCTTGCTTAATTGAGAGGACTAAATGTGTCCTAAAAGGGGCTATTTCGGGTCGGCCAAGCCCTTTTAAGGGCTTATCTCCTGAAAATATAACACTCATTATACAGAAAAATAACCAGAGATAAGCCCCTCCAAAAATCCTCCCAAAAATTGAACACAAATCCTAATTGATTTTTTCTCCTTTTCAGGTTCTAGTTGGAGGAAAACCTAGGGTTCGAAGAACCAAGATAGGATATGAGATATTCACCAAATAAGGTAAGTTTACTTCTCTCTTTTATCCATTTTTTCTGCTGTAAATGTGGAAAGTCGTTCTACAATTGTAAGAACTCACGGGACGGTGATCGGAAGCCGTGAGTTCGAGTTATGCAACTGATAGTGGACTATTTTGTGGGATGTTTCGTGTTGTTGTTGCATTGTGTGTTTTGCTACTATTTTAGGGATTTTTAGAGGAGAAAGGGCGTGGACACATATCACATAAATGCAGGGTGGTGGGCTGGTCGTTCATTGTAATATTTTTGGGTTGTTTGACACTACTACGGTGGTCGTTTTGTGTATGAATAGATTGGGGTGTGTTGGGCTATTTTGTAGTACTTTGTGGTATAAGGTTGAAAATAATGTATATATATTTTTATTGTTGTGTTTATATGTTTTTATTGTTGTGTTCTTGTGTTGTTAGTGTTATCTCAAATTGGGAGGAAGTAAAGATTATAGGGGAGATGCTGCCTGTTTTGATATAAAATAAGCTTGTCGTTCGCTATGCGATAGTTGTACCTTTCGTAACTTAATGATAGTATTATTATCGTTTTTGTAGATTAAGATGAGAAGAGACGAGCTCAACATGGTTATTGGAAAGATTGTGATAAGGTATGTTAAGGATAAACATTTCCTTCATTTTGGCATGATCTCGTAACTATATGTGTTTGATAACGAGACATAAAGAGGAGTTCATATTCCTGAATTTATTCACATTATCCTAGTCTCAGAAGTTACAGTATTCTCCCTTATTGGGACTTTCTATTTAGTTAAGTATTATCTTCTTTCAGTCATGAGGGTAGAGGGTCTCTATATATTCAGTATTAGAGTATTTTCACCACCACCGAGCTATAATCGGCGGGCAGGCCCCTATTGGGCAACCTCAGATTAGATGGTTAGTTATATACCGAGCCTACTGTGGTCGAGTGTCTATGAGCGAGCCCAGAATGGTCGAGATACTGATCCTAGTATGGTCGAGCGCCTATGAGCGAGCCTACTATGGCCGAGCAGTTACACGTACCAGGCCTTATAAGGCCGAACAGCTATTTTACTTACTATATTGAGAGAGTTGAGTTAGTATCAGCACGTAAGTATATCTTTAGATCATCTTTGACTCCTAGTTACTTTCAGTCATTATATTATTAGTTCAGTTTCAGCTTTCAGTTATTTTATTGCCTTACTTACTCAGTACATTATTTCGTATTGACGTCCTTTCCTGGTGACGCTGCATTTCATGCATGCAGGTTCGGATAGACAGACTGGTAGACCTCTTCCGTAGGTGTTGTCCGTGTTCAGCTTGATCGATAAGCTCCACGTCCTTTGGAGTTGTCGGGTCTAGGATTTAGAGTACATATTGTGTATGTATATACATTATGGGTAGGTCGGGGCCCTGTTCCGACCACGGTACCTTCATCAGTAGAGGCTTATAGACATATCTTGTTAGTCGGTGCAGTATGTTAGGCTTGTAGGTCTTGTGTGTATATTTTTATTGGTTTGTCAGCTGTAGTAGTTATGCAACTAATAGTGTTCTCATTAGAAAGATTCACACGAGTTAGCAATATGTCGAATTTAGCTTGATCCTTTACACTACCAGATTGCACCAAATTTTTGATAGATTCCATGTGATCTTCAAATTCTTTCCCAAACCTTTCATTTAAAGCTATTACATACTCAGTCCAAGTAGGATTGATCACTGAATTTCTGGGTTTGATATATGCCATATGCCAAGCAATTGCTCAACAAAAAGTTCACGACCTTCTTTATCTCTAAAGATAGGGTGTCCTGACCATCCAACCGCTATTCCATCCCCGTTATCTATTGGGCCGCTCTGAATAATCCCCCTTTTGCTGGATTATTGCCGATGTAATCATAAAAAGCTAATTTTTCAAAAATCTTAGACCTTCCAAATGAATTGAAGTTACCTTCACTCTCTGGTCAAAAGGAACCTCATCCATAGCAAAAAACGGATCCACCTTATACAGCTGTGTCTTCAAATCATGCCCAAAAAATTTAGGAAATTTAACCTCGAATATCTGGTGAAGAAATTACCAGCAGGTGTTTGATTGCCTTGATTATCCCTTGCTCTTCTTTCATGTATGACCTCAACAAAACACTCTCTATCCTCATATTCAGTTCTGCGAGTTTCATTGCCACTCTCCTTCCTGCTGAGATTATTAATGGTGGATCGCATCTCCATACTCCTTGTCCGCTATCAAATTGCGCTCATTCATGCTAGTCATTCCTTCCATAAGCCTCTGTAGCTGCATTTCAATCTGCACAAGTTTTTCTCCCATTTCTTCTTATTGTTGTTCTTGACTTCTGTTTCTGGTCATTATTTCGTTGTTATTTCATTATTTCGTTGTTATTAGTCATGATTTAGAGCCGAGAATCGTGTTGCTCTGATACCAATTGATGCACACAGTGCAATCGAAAAGAAAATAGTTCTAGGAAATGCAAAGATTTCAAAGAACAATGAAACTAAGTCAGGGTTGTCACCGAGATATTAGCTTGAGGAGAGAATTCAGGAGTAGGAGAAGAGTATTTAATGAATGAATCAAATGTACACAATACAAACTATATATGAATGAATCTCTAAGCTCAAGGATCTTCCCCCTTCACTGTAACTAACTCCTAACTAATTTTTCGACTTTAACCAACTTCCGGAACCTTCCAACAAATTAACTAATTGTGTTGCCACATCAGCTAAGTAAGGCTAATTCATCACTGAACATTTGCAACACCATTGTAATCACTCCTCAAGAAGAGACGAAGATATTAAGCAAATATAATAATTGAAGGAAGAATTAAAGAATATCCCTGTTTCCACGGGAAGAAAAATATTACATATTGACATATCAAGTACTCATATATTACGACAGAATAAATAAATCCAATCCAACTCTAGTAAAAGCACCAATATTGGTGTCTCTTTGATAATAATTGACCAATGGAGCTCGAACACAATGGGCAAGTCAAGGAAAAACCTATTGGCTTCAAACCACTAAACGCTACAATGTACCAATAACAGCTTCACACTACAATTACTAACACAAGAATAAATTAATGACGTTTACAGGGACTGACATGACCAAACCTAATTCAGAAAGACAACTGTATAACCATAAGTTCTATCTCTTTTTTCTTTTTCCCTTTTTACTCTCTCTTTTCATTTCTGTTGCTGAAAAAATAAAAAAAAAACCAAAAGGCAAACCAAAAATCACCCGCAACGACCTGTATGTCTATTTTGTATCATGGGTTTAGGTAGTGATGCGGATACGGATGTATGTTGAGAGGAATGTCCAGGCATGCCTCTCGCTATCCGAGGAGTACAAACCTCTCTTAGCATCAACAACTTCAATGTCTCTTCTCTCTCAACGGCCAGTCTTGGGACGTTTCATTCCACTGGTATTGAAAGGAGACACGCTGCCACTTGGACCGGGAGACTCTTCCCTAAAATTTGAATTTAGCAGCGCAAGTTCACGCAACTGCTGTCTCTTTATGAAATCTTGTGATTCATCCTGTAGATGAAAGCATTGCAAAAAAAAAAAAAAGTTAAAAAAAAAATAAAAAATTGAAACCCCAAAGAGGCAACAAAATTTGAGATACATACCACAGGCTTGAGCAACTCCTCTATTATTTCTTGTGCCTGTCTCAATCTAATATCCACAACACTGGCTGGCAAATCAGCTTCAATTAAAATATGGAGTGGTTCATTCAGGTGCTCATATCCTGGTCTTCCCCTTAGTTTCTCCTCCTTGAAGTTATCAACCGCGAAAATATATTAGAACTTCAATGATACAGTTCACACATACGACTCCACAAAAGACAGTGATCTACCTAGAGCTAGAAGTAAGTCTACAAATTGAATAGCCTTTCATCGACCTTTTTTTTTCATAAAGAAGTCTTTGTTCTGGATAAACTAAATTTTCAAATACCAAAAGTCTGTCCCATCTTCCAATTAAAATTGTCAGTATTAATAAACAAAAATTGTAAGAAAGAAAAGAAGATGAAAACTACCTTGTCCGGATCTTTTATTGACCCTTTTCCTCTAATAAAAACACGACATCCTGTAGTAGCTTCCACCCGTTTCAATGAATTTCCTCTGGGACCCAGAAGTCGCCCGACAAAATTAAACTGAAATCCACAAAGAAGTTGGTCCAAACTTCAGACAAGGCTATACTACTAAGCATTCATCTATCCCCAAAAAAAAAAAAAATTAACTAAGCAACAACACTAACAGCCTTACATTCGGATAAGTGTCGACTGGAATTTCTAAGCGCAATATTCTTTTCACAGTGTACGAACTAGGACTTGCTGGTGCCCCCTGCCAGTCCATTGACATTCCAGGAGGTCCACTTAACCTCTGGTACAATTTGAGAAATTGATATTTTAGAGAACATTACGGAAAATAACTAGCAAAGAAGAAGAGCACCAGTTAGCAGACAACAAAATGGTTGGTACTTTGGATGGTAAAATAGGAAAATATGCCAACTGAAAGAGTATTAAGAACACAAAAGAAACTATCAACCACTCCTTTTACTTGTATTTTAAAAATAAACAAAAGTAACTACCAATCCTTCTGAAAATGTTCAACGGGATGTACATAGCTATAGAGCTGAAAGCAGTCACAGAGATCGACCTCAACCCTTATTAATGTTCCAACCAGTGTCCACTGCCACTGACCGAACATAATAGCTTCCAAAACGAGCTAGAGACAGTCTGTATCTTCACTCATTCGCCAGCAAAAATTCCACTTCCCTGCCTTAAGATTATTATACCCGACGAAATGATAAAACTAGAATCTTCAGGGAACTAATTTTGCATTTTACGGATTTGCCTATATTCTTTTAGGAGGTCAATCTTCTGGTATTATGAGAAATTGACGTCTAGATGGAGAAGCAACAAGATAACACAACAAACAATGAATCATCATTCATCTTTGAACCAAACATCTTTGTCCCACAAAAATCTATATTTAGACTATAGCAAATTCAACATTCCCATCACCCTTATTAACCGAAAGACATTCTGAAGCTTCCAAAATTTATGTCCATAATCTGTGCCATCCACATCCTTAAGGCTTCAATATTATACATGGAATGCATCAGAAACTTAAGGCCTCGTATGCTTGTTTAAATTCTAGATCAATCAGATTACCATACTCCGCCGCTAATGGACAGATATGACACCCAAAGGGAACGCCTGAGAAGCGAAACCAAAGACCTAAAGAACTTCCACGTCTGAAGAAGACGTCTTCATAGCAAAACATCCTCCCTTTTAAAATTGAATATTAAAACTAGTAGAATAGTAACATATCTAAGCTTTTCAATCGAAATCTTACAAGAAACGAATAAGGCAAGGACAAGACATGTAATTTCGGGGTCCAGCAAACCTTACTCAAACCTTGAGGATGCACATGACAACAACAACAACAACAAACCTAGTGGAATCCCGCAAGTGGGGTATGGGGAGGGTAGTTTGTACGCAGATCTTACCCCTATCCTGGGAAGGGACACCACGATGCACATGGAGAAGAGAATTTCTATGGTTTTCTCTTTAGCTGTTACGGTACTTTTGCTGCAATTCTCTAAGATCTCTCACCAAAACTTATAAGTTTTCCCCTTTTTTTTTTACTTAAAAACCCAAACACAACTGAAATAGTTAATCTTACTTTAAACAACAAGTGGATATTAGGTGACTGCTCGTATGTCCACACACGCAATCCGATATTTCTAGAGGCTTGTTGAGAATTAGACAGTCAATAACTAAGCAAATGGGCTATATAAAAGTAGCTTGAAGATTTTTTTAAGAGACAAAGAACTTTACTTAAAAAGTAAAGTACTTCAAAAATCTAACATGGCGACGAAAAAAAAATTTACATGATTTATAGAAACTTAAATTAGAAAATAAAGTCAAGCCTAATATCTTATTAGCCTCATAAAATAAGTATCTCTTTTTAGAGGCCTATGCATTAGCTATACATGTTAGCCCAGTTCAGTCCAATGAAATTTTAATTTTATTTGATACGTAACCTAACCATGTACACCAGGTTGAGATATCTAGCAGCATAAACATATTTCAGAAAGACAAAAATCTAAGAGTGTATAGCTGCTTAAGTTAAAATTATTTTGATTCCATGACAAGATTGTTCCCATTGCACCTGAATACTGCTACATTTTTACACCATGTAAAGCCTTGAGGTGCACTCTGCATTATCTCTCCATTGGCAGTCGCTATCTAGCCACTGCTATGGTTTCATTTAGCAGCATCGAGAAACTTACGAGCCTTTTCCATAGAAAAGAACGCAGCTAGGCTCCTAAAAGAGATACTTAATAGCTTATGATCAATAAGAAATAAAGCAGCTATTAAGTTCCACTAATAAGAATAGTGAGGATAATCGAAACAGTAAGTTTGCTCTATTTAGACAGTGTTGTCACCAGATGCTACATGTTTTGAAATAAGTGGCCAAAACATATCTTCTTTTCTTAACCTATTGAACATCAACTGGGCACAATCTTCCATGGGTAAGGAATTCTTGTAAACTTGGTCCATGTACTCTAATGGATGAAAAAATGTGCTGCTTAATCACTTGCATGTCTTAGCTGGCTTGTACGGAAAGAAGGAACAGACTACAGAGAAGCCTTTGAAAGATTGGAATATAGAACCCGTTTGGATTGGCTTGTTTTAAGTGCTTTTAAGCCAAAATAGCTTTTAAGCCATTTTGTAGTGTTTGGATAAAGTAAAAAAGTGCTTTTAAGCACTTGTTTTTAAGCTAAAATGACAAAAACAAGCCAAAAGCAAAAAGTTAGAATTCCTAACTTATGGCTTAAAAGCTATTTTGGCTTAAAAGTCACTTAAAACAAGCCCATCCAAACAGGCTCATAGCTTCTGTCAGCTGAAAAACCACTTGTAATCCGCCTTACACTTGTCGCAAAATCATAGAAGTCCCATCAGCCACTTATATTGCTGAAATTTTAAAAATGAACTTGCAATCCATCTCTTTTTATTTTTATTTTAATTGGGTCTCCATCACATGGTTGACACTCCCCTCAGTACCCATCATTTTGCACTTAATAAAAGAACAGGGATCCAAAGTAAGAAAAAGAAGCTGATTTTATTTGGTAAACTATTGCACTTAGTCCATAAACAGGCAAACATGCTAATCAATAATTTTATTGGTTCTAAAAGCTTATTAACAATAGTTGCGACAACACACATTGTTCATCAATGTGAAGACACTAAAAATTCATATCCATTTGTTTCACTTAGACCGAACAGCATGATTACTGTTAGGCAGACATCAGAGGATTTCATACCTATACATGACACGCAAGATATGTATGGACAGTCTGGTTAAGAGAAGGCGTTTACCACATTGAGCCAAGTGTCAAAGATAACATGAAAAAGACAATTACCTCCTGGGGAAGTCCATTCCAACCAGCCAATCCTGCTCCAGAAACATTTGACATAAGGTTTGCTGAACCCATAGGACTAGGACTTCTATGTCGCAATCTGTCAAGTTCACCAAATCCTTGGTTCGGCAACATTCCGGAAACCCTTAAAATCTCTGAAAAAAACCAGATCATACTTAGAAACCAAGCATCACTCAATAAAATTGCAATAGCTTGATGACCATGAACCTGAAGAAAATACAGTTTGACACCATAACCACTATAATTATCATTAAAAGTTGGGAAACAAATCTGATAAAATTCGTGTACACTGGAAGGATGAAGACAAGTTCTAAATATCATAAGACTTGATTTCTAAACCAAGGGTCCTAAACAAGAAGAGCATGTAATTTGATTATTTGCAACTGAGCAATCTGAAGGTCACCAATTGGCTAGATATCTTTTCCAGAAAAGATCAGCAGCAAACACCCCCCCCCCCCCCCAAAAAAAAAAACCCAAAGCAGGTAATTCCACTAATGACTTCTTGATTGCCTTACTCATGTTCCTCTTTTTCTAATTTTTAAGCATTTTCAGAAGACATGCGACAAGACAATGACACAGCCAAAGGTTACAAGTGCCCTTAAGATAACATTTCAAACTTGAACAGCTAATTGAGATGATCCACAATTCGCAGACCAAACAAGAACCCCCTAAGCTTGAATCACGATTCCCCAATAATTATTGGCACAAAAAGATTTTTTTTAATTGCAAAACTACTGGCACAAAAGTCATGGATGGTTGGCCGAAACGTGTTATATCTATTAGAATTTTCTGAATAACGGACCCTATAATCTTCTCCATTTATCTGTTTAATTTAGTAATTAGAGCCTTGCTTGTGAATTGTGAACCTCAAGCTGCAAATGAACCAGAGTTAGAATGTTTCTCAAATGAGAGGGATTGCAATTGTTTTCCATTTCAACAGCAGAAGGATACATGAAACTTCAGTCCAGACAGAATCCAAGAAGAGTAAAATGTAAAAAAGATATAATTTTTCCATTCCAACAACCCATCCTGGAGAAAAAGATGGGCAAGAACAGATATATATAGTAGTCCAATTTCCTCATGATGGTAAGAAAGAATCGGGCCAGATCTAGCTTGTCATCCATAACCACAAGAAACCATAAGAACATACTGAAAATGTAGATAAAGCCCACAAAAACTCAAGAAACATAGATCCAAGACAAGGAATTGATTCAAAAAAGTAACCTTGATTCAAGAGTCTGCTACATATGGGAAGAACTTGCATGAAAGGTCCAAGCTTTTGATGCTCCGCCAACAGCTCTGACAAGTACTGATTGCTAAGATGTAAAAGAAACACAAGAAGATCAAAACCCACATAGCCAAATTCAAATACACAAGTAGAAAAAAGAGAAAACTAATTAGTAAATGATAGGATAGGAAAAAACTATATATACCTGTCAACATCAGGGGTACTTCTAATCTGAGGAGAAGCAGCTCTAGCAGGTGAAAAGTTGGGATTATACAAACCTGACATAGCTTTTTTTCAGGTGAATAAGCTTTTAGACTGAAATGGCTCCCCCTGCTGGGCTATAGTATAGCGGCACAAGAAAAGAAAAGAAAAGAAAAGAAACAGAAACAGAAACAGAAACAGAAAGAGAGAGAAAAAGAGAAAGAGAGAGAACCCTTGAAAAGGGTTTTGTGTAAATAAAGGGTGATAAGTCTAAAAGCCTGTGAAATTGGCAGAAAGAAAGCCAAAACCTCTTTTTTATTTTTTTTATTTTTTATTTTTGTTATTTGAAGAAGTTACTATAGTAGTAGGAGTATTTAGGTAGTGTATGAGATAATGATAATTGAGAAAAATCTATGAAAGAATAGTATGTAATTGATGATAGTTATTAGTCTCCTAATAATTGTATGTCAACACAGACTGTGCTGTCTCCTTCCGTTTCTGTCTAACGTCTGTGAATGCAAAAAACAAAAAAAAACAAAAAAAAAAAGATCATAAATCAACCAAATTTATAGAGTTGATTTATTTGCGTTCGGTGCCTAACCAAGAGATTTTATCATACTCGCCGTCCCCAAAAATTAAGGAAAGACGAATATTCTCAAAGGAAAATGGTTGAATATGCTAATATCTGGAATTCAGGAATTTTATTATTTGTTCATTGCCCTCATAGTTAGAAAAAGTATTGTTTTTATTCTTCATCTCTATCAAAGATACAACATGAGGGTAATTTTAGATGGGTAAAATATAAAATTGACCGGTCGGCTACAACTAATTACATTCGCTAGTCAAAATATATATATATATATATATATATATATATATATATATATATAATATTTTATTTTATTTTATTTTGTATANATGTCAGGTTGGTTTGGTTTGGTTTGACTTTTTTAGTTTAAACCAAACCAAACCTAATTGTGGGCGGGTCTTTTTTCTAAACACCAAACCAAATCAAATCAAACCATAGCCGTGTCGGATTATCAATTGGTGCGATTTATCGGTTTCCTCGTACACCTCTACTCATGCAGTCGAATAATCTTACTAGCATAGTCTTACAAATATAAATTTCAAACACGGTAATAGTCTATGCTTGCTTCAAATATACATCTTACTAGCATTGTCTTACAACTATAAAACTAAAACAATAGGGCCAAAAAAAATAAGGAAAAAAAATCACAAGCATGAAAAACAAGCTTGAGCACAACAGAAAATATATAAAATAAAAAATTTATCTTGTATCTTCAGTTTCTTGCATCTTGGGAAGAAAGAGCTATCTCACCATAAATTGTTTTCTAGTTTTGGGTGGGATTTGGAGCACTAAGAGGGGCCTTTCTCAAGCTTTGCTCCACAGCTTTCTTTGGATTTTTCTTAGTTTTTGCACTGCTATTTCTTCTTGTATGAACTGAAGCAGTAAAAAACAACAATTTTCTTCCAATATTATTGCCATTTTTTGTCCATCTGAGATAAATATCTTGGCTATGAAAATGTACATAAACTAGAGAACACAAGAAGATATGAAAGAGTATTAAAGCAAAAATGGCAGCTAAAGTTATGCGATTGATCTTCATTAGAATTTAGAAGCTAAGGAGGAATATAATTCTGAGAATGAAGAAAAAAATAAAGAAGAAAAATATGATTTTGATATGATTGGATTCATGTTTATATGCGTAGTGTACCATGCTTGGCTACACGTGCATAGCCATTTGCTTTATAATAGAAATCTTGAGGGTTTTTGGATTTCAGACAACTCACGATCTCTAGTAAACGACGTTTCATATACTATATGTAATCAACATTTTGCTAAATTTGTCTATTAATTTAATCTTTTTCACTTTATATTTTTGCTAGATAAAGATAGTTTTGTTATTTGAATATAAATAAGTAGTTTTTTTTAGCAAACAGGAAATATATATCTTAATAACTAAAGAGCGTTCAGTACATGATTATCATAAGATGTGTCACGAAGGATACATTGGTTCCCTAGGCTTGCCAACAGTTGGCAAATTTCAAAAGATAGTAATTTTTCATATGTAGTAAGTTCAAGTCTTTCCCTATCCACAAAACATATAACATCACTTGGAGGTCTAACAAAAACTTTTTTATTGCTCCCCAAGTAGTTTTGTTACAAACCCTAGCATTAATTTATGCCTTCTCCCAGCTAATTAAAATAAAAAACTATTTTTTTTCTTTTCTTTAACAAAAAACTAAGATTCCATTATTTATTAAAATTAGGTGTATAGACCTACTTATTTTGGATATTATTATTTATTTTCCTGTTTTTGTTGGGTAATTTATGAAAATGTGATTTGATTGCACGAACAGATGTGCAAAATAGAACAAAATATTTTGTCCATACCCAATTGTTTGGAAAACTTTGAAGTCAATCAGGCTCAACATTGATGAGCAGCCCCAACAACCTATTGTTGTGAACTACCATTGTTGTTTTATATCTTAAGAAAATTATTACCCACAAAAAACATAAAGATTTTAAAACAAAATAGCCAATGCAGTATATAAAATACAAACTAGTAATTGTACCCGCGCGATGCGCGGTAAATATTATACCATGTGCCTTTTTTCTAGGCTACCACTTGGATTAATGTGGGGCCTTTTTCCTTGGCTTTTAATAATATATAGATAGATTATTAGCATATTACTTGTTTAATATTTTTGTCCGCAATTCTTTTGCAATATAATAGAAGATATATATTCTATTACTCTTGAAAATATATATATATATATATATATATATATATATATATATATATAATATTTTATTTTATTTTATTTTGTATATTTATACGAAGACCTTAATAAATGTTGTTCGCTTTTTTTACTCTGTAAAATAGAGTTTACACTGGACGAAATGATATTTATTTATTTCTCTAGGATTTAGAACTTTAAAATAAACTAAATCTTACTTATTAAATATTTCCTTATCTAAATTGCATAAGTAGTCCTAATATTTAGGACTTTATATGAATATTTTCCTTTTGCACTAGGTAGTATAATTATAATATAAGTCATATGTTTTTCCTAATATTATAAAAAAAATATCGTATTGTAAACTAAAAAAGAAATCGTTAAGAGGAAAAAGGTTTAATATCGTTTATTTGGAAGGAAAAAAAGAGAGAAAAATATGGGTCAAATGTGGAGCATGAAAGGCCAAACAATCTTATTTATATCTATATCTATACTATATTAAAAGCACGAATGTCCTTAGAGAAATGTCGTTCTCCTTTTTTACCATTAAAAATAGAGTTCGCAATAGATAAAATAGTCATTTAATTATTATCCTAATATTTAGTACTTTGAAATTGACTAAAATTTTGATTATTAAATATTTGCTTATTTGAACTAGTTAAGAAGCCCTAAATTTTAGAAATTTAAAGTCAATTACAATTCTACCTTACATAAATTTTTTTCTTTATCTAACTATATATGTAACATAATAATATTTCTTATATGTTACTTTTTCATGGATGTATCCTATGAAAAAAGAGTAAATTAATGAAATTAAAGTAACTAACTCATCTGCAATTTTTATGCTAATAAAGAGATTAAGAATCAAATTTATAAAAATACAAACTTGAAACAATAAGGATGAAACATTATATTAGAAGAAAAATATAATCTAGATGCGTTTACTTAATTATTTTCTTTGTTTTTGCATTCAATTCCGACAAATGATAATTTCTAATATTTTTAATAAATTTATTTATTTACTTTAAAATATTAACTTAATATTAGTCATTTTTAGCATTTACATTGTTAATTATTAAATTTTTTTAGGAGCTATGATAATGGGTGAATTTGACTATAATCACACCTTAAATAATCACCTTCTTGTGTAGTTTTAATGCTAAAAGTGATAACAAAATGCTCTTATTAGTGCTTTTCATGATTTGCAGGTGATATATTTATAAGGAAGGCTAAGGAGCAGTTTTGGAGTCAAAATTGGAGAAAAGAGGCCAAATGTGTAAATTCCCAATGAAGCTACGCCCTGCCAGCCCTTAGGATTCAGAAAAATGGTTTGGCCGCGGTTCTACCGCGACCGCGGCAGAACCGCGGTGGAAGGCAGCTTCAGAACTTTAGAGATTCAGAGAGGGTGATTAGCCGCGGTTCTACCGCGATCGCGGCAGAACCGCGGCAGGCGCAGAAAAGTTCAGGGGTCAAAGTGTCAAATACGGGATTTTTAGACTTAAACCCTATTTAAAACATTAGACTTCGCCCAAGAGAATTATTATTGATTTTTAGGGTTTCTTAGCAAGGAAAACCATTGTGAGAGAATACTCAAAACATCTTTCTTCTTTACTTTTGATTTTTATGATGAATTGTATCTTAGTTTATTTTTCCATAGCCATGAGTAGCTAAATTCCTTGTCTAAGGTTTTGATGGAACCTATTGGGTGATGAACTTCTTGTTTATGTGAATACAAATTGCTAGTTTAATCTCTATTTGTTCAACTTCGTGTTTGTTGTAGTTAATTGACAGGATCCTCAATTAGCTGTGCCTATTTAGTGTGCATAACTTGGAAAAGAGTACATATTTAGGGTATTGTTGAACAACACCACTCCTAGATTATTAGAGGAATCTATAATTGCGGGTTTAAAGGCGGGATTAGGGATAACGAAGCCTTGGGTGTAATCTAAAGTGAATCGTGCTAAATAAAGTAAGCTAGTGTACCTCGGGAGAGTGCAATAGTAAATTACTGTGATTACTCGAGAGAGATTTACGGTAAGATTAGCGTTCATGATTGATAGAGATGTGTTGGTAAATTTGTATGAGCATAAACAGAAGGGATTCCATCAATAGGGGAAATCATTGCCTTAGCTTTTTATCATAATTGTTTACAACCTTATTAGTTTAGTTTACAGCTATTTAGTTACTTGCAAGCGTAGTTGTTAAAGAACATTCAACTAAGATTTGAATATTTGGGAAGCTGGTTCTGAAGAATTAGTGGGTTTGAAGATAGTGGTTGATAGGTTAACTCTCTGTGGATTCGACCCTGGGCGTAATACTCGGGTTATATTTGCAACGTCCGCAGAGTCCTTTTTATAAGGCATAGTTGGGCGTGATCAAATTTTGGCGCCGTTGCCGGGGACTTAACGGAATTATCAATTGCCATTGACAGAAATACAAAGATTCTTATTGTAGTCAGTTTTCTCTCTACAAAATTTTTCATTGAAAATTTAACGGTTGCTGACTTGGGTGCTCAGGTGTATG